ATGGAGAACTGCAGAATGGCAGGTTGCAGGACTGACACAGATGACTGTCCTTCACTGGTTTCCCCTGCCATCTGTTTGTGAGGGCAAACACTGGTAGTCCCAGAGCAGACTTGCTCCCCTAAGCCCTCATGCCAAGACCCCTTAAGAGAGTCCCCATATCCAGGAAATGGCACACAGGCCGATTTTCGTAAATGGATCCAGCCCCATGTTGTTACTGCAAAAAGTTGTGACTAGAAATAGAGGATATAAAACAACAGACAAAATCATTTGGCTAACAACAACAAAGAACAACATTCAAATTGCATTGTCCCCAAACCGCTATACACGCATCACACTGCTATCATCTGAAGGCTCACTCTCTAGGGTGGGATGAGCGGACAACAGCTCCACGGTCAGACAAAGGATGGGACAGAAAACAAGCTGCCAGCCCCCCTTCCCCTGTGACAACCCATCCCCAGTTAGATCCCAGTGATTGGTCCCTTGGGGGAAGCAGAAAGACCAATTTTCCCGCTGCTTGTGCCCTGCCCCCCCAGCATCCAGTTGAATCTCCTCCCTTGCTGGTGCCACAAAAGTTGGGCCATGGATAAGTCGGGCCCTCTCCACTTTGTTTTACTGTTATCGGAGTTCTATATTTGGATTATTTGTGTATTTGATGCATATTTATTAAATAAGGTTTTTTTTAACTTTTGTTTTTATTAAGACAGGAAGTTTATTTTTCAAATATATACCTCAGCCTTTTGGGCTATTGTGATTTTTTAAGCATGACAAGCTATGATTGGAAACCAATCTGGTACCAGCTATTTGAGGTAATATCTCCTGGATTCCAGGAGAACAACTGTTCTTTATTGACTGCCCAAGAGACAGGCTTGGTTGTAAAGGGATAGACCAATATGAAAATAGAAGGAAAAAAGTACTCCAGCTGCCTCTTAAATGGTTAGCATGCCATTCTTAATATATTCAGCCTACGTTACAACCAGGAAGGTAGAAAGAAAATAATTCACCTGGAAGTTTTCCATCTCTAAGCTATTTCCATTTTTTTCCTGTCAAATTCCTCCTCAAAATCACCTACTTCAAGAAAGACTTTACTTAATCATTGTACCAGTACTTTGTTACACCAATGCATTTTACTAGCATTTATCAACTTTTGTCCTTGTCTTTTGCCTTGGTCTGTACATTTTACTTATGGCATGTTTACAAGCTTATTACAAAGCTTAAAACAATTTCAACATTGTAGCAACACAAAGAAACCATTTTAGTTGTAGTTCAGAAAGGGAAATCCAGCTCCAACACAGTGCAAAACATCACAATTTCTTGCAGGAAGCCATGACAGTTAAGGAGGTTTAAACAGAACATAAATTTGTAATGTAGTTATGTCTACAGATTGTAATGCCTTAGGGCAGGCACTGTGCCACATCTGTGTCTGGCACAACACTTAGGATACTCTTGGCACAAAGAAATGAGGTGAAACACTAACAATAGCAGTAGTGTCAATCTCTTCCTATTTAAATTCATATATATAATGGAGAAAAATAGTTTTTTTCTATATTCTGTCCACCAGCAACACGAAGCCTCTAAAAATGCCACATGACATACAAGGAAATATAATATATGCTCAGTCCCAATTTAACAAGTTTATCTGATTTAGCAGTGTGTTTGGGTACAGTTGCATAAAGAGTATTGCAGGATTTATTTTTCTTTCTAAATTATTTATATGAAAACAAAGAACAAAACCCCCTCAATTGCTTTATTATACTGTGTAGGAAGATTGCAGCTTGCTTTTCATGGATGGTAGTTTGCATACATTAGGTGAAAAAATATAGAGCATACAGAAGAAGATATTATCTAATAAATTTCACAATTGGCTTCTCCGTTTAAATGAAAAATAATTAACCAAGAAAAATGAGATTGTATTGTGTTGCATAATGTAACCCATTTTAATCTATACCTGTAGCCTATGAAAAAGCTTTAAAAAGAATGTAAAAGATAAATTCAGCACAACATTCCTTTGGAAGAGAATAATTTAAAAGAGCATTCTATACTTGTTAAAGAAAACTCTTGTTGCAAAATATAATGCATAGAAATGCCTGAGCCTAAGTTATAAATTGCATTGCTTGCAATAATGTGGCACATTAAAGAATTATACAGAGGATTGTTTTTGTTTTTGTATAAAATACCCTTACCTCAGCATTGTAAATATCACATAGTACATGGACTGCATGCTGAAAATTGTATTGAGTCTCCAAGCTTTTGTAAAAATATTTTAGTTTGTACGGGTTCTTTTAAATCACTAGGCAAAACTACACCTGACAATCTTGTTTGAGTCACAGAAACATATTTTCCAGAGTTTTAGAATTAAAATTGGTTAAAATCATTGTTTTATTGTGACTTTGATCATTTGAAAAGGGCAGCTCATGTTTCTCAATGGATATTATTTGTTAAGAGAATGAGGCTTGTGCGCTATTGGCAAAGCCGATTGAGCGCACAGGTCATTTGGCCCCTGGGAGGAAAGGGAGACTGACAACTGCACTGAGACGCAATGTGTCTCGGCTGAGTGGGCGGGGCTGGCCTTTATAGGCTCGGCACCGTTCCCCCTCTGTCAGTTGCGCCTTGTGCTTGGCCCACCCGCCCACCCTGTGCTCTGTGTAGCCTGGTGCTGGTCGTTTGTTTGGGGCCGGGTAGGAATTTTACACACTTACCGAGATTGGATGGCAGATGAGTGTGTTTTCGCCTACCTTACAACGAACATATGGGAATCTGTTTGGGCCTTCTTTTGAGTACAGGGCAGTAATTAGCCGGTCACTTTGGCAGAGTAGGGTGGGAAAGAAAGCAGAACCAGTAAGCACTTTCAGCCAGTTCCAGTTGAGGACCAGGAGGTCATCAGGAATGGCCCCAGGGCTGTAGGGCTTGGAATGGTGACAACCTCAAGGGGCCTCTTGGGTAAGCTCCTCCCTGAGGCTGTAGGGCTTCAGGGGTAGACGCTCCTAGGGGGTGACCTGTGCCCTGGGCTGCCGGTCACGGGCCAGTGACTTGGCCCTAGACTGGGGCTACTGACTTGCCCATACATCTAGGCAAGGAGGTTGGCTGGAGTGACACCTGCCTGGCCTGTTCTGCTCCCACTTAGTTCCCTTGCTGTTGATTTATTATGCAAAATAAATAGTTAATAAAGTGGCCCTTGTTTGAATTCCAAACAGTTGTCTGTCTCATTATTTCCGGCTCAGGGGGCAATGAAGGTTGTACAGTTATTTTTATGGTTGCTGACTCTGGTTTGGTAAATTCCTGGAGATTTGGGGGTGGTGCCATACAGTCTAACTCTGAAGCTGCTATTTCCTTCAGGGAAACCGATGTTTATAATCTGGAGATTGGTTATAATTCTGGGATATCTCCAGGCACCACTTGGAGGTTGACAGTCCTAGTCATTTTGGAAATAAGCACTCAAGGCCTCAGAAAAGAAAATGATTTAACAGACTGGAAAAACATTTTTGGCGTTTTTAATCCTTCTAAGTAACATGTTTTCATCTGCAGATATTGCTACCTCAGTCTTTTACCTGGCTCCGGAACATTCGTAAAAAAAATAAAACTAGCAATGTTGCCATTTCAAACGTTTCAGGCTTCCCCTGTTTACTTCTCCACTCTATGAACTACCCATTTTTCTTTCCCTTTGTCTCTTGATTTTTAAAACAGTTTTAAAATACTTTCCAGTCTATGAGAGGTCTCATTGCCTTGTACCACACTGGCTAAGGGCCTAACTACACAAAATATTATTCTTGCGAACCCATGGGCTATAAAGGAGGGGGGGGTGCCCAAGAAGGAAAACTATGACGACAGAGTTGGGTGAAAGTAGGCCACAGGTTTAATGGATGCAGAGCAAGAGCATTGGTGCAGCATGGGGATGGATCCAGCATCAGGTGACCCGCCTGCTGCCCAGTATACCATTCCACACCCCAGCCCACCTGCCAAGGGGTAACACCACAGAATGGCAAATTTCCAGGGACCCATGTGGGTGCCAGCCACTGCATGGTTTCTTCGCCACCTGGAGGCAAGAGCCAGCTGACAGCCCCCACCTGGGCATGCCGCTTAGTGCTCCACCTCCAAGACCCCTTAAGGGAGTCTCCAACCTGGAGGAGGCGGGAACACAGGCGCGCCTTCCCCAAGGATCTGTCCCAATGTCAAACTATCCTGAAGTGGTGACAATTACCAATAAAAATAAACATGAAATGTAACTTGTAACAACCGAATGCAAGGGGAGAAGGGGGGAAATGCAGCTGCAAGCTGAAAGGTTTGGTACATGTAGCAGTCACTTTAACTAAGGAAGGGGGCAGCAGAGCACAGCCCTTGACATGGTCCTCTGGCTCAGCCCTAGCCTCCCTCGTAAACACCAGGCCCAGGAGCAGTTAGCCCGAACATCAACGCCTCAGGGACTTAATTATGTTCAAAGATGTTTTATTGGGCTGATACAGATAAATCTCAGGGCTCAGTTTAGAGACTGCTTCATATGGGAGCAGGCTAAAAAACTGTCCAGATGAAACAAGTACAATTTGATTGTGCTTGTCTCAAAATACAGTCTCCATGTTTGGTAACCATTTATTTGAGTTTACCAGTTGAGTTTACCAGCAGGATTAAATGGCAATATCTGGAAATGTGTCAGGCTGAAGATATCTTCCTCTATTTGTGTTTCATGAAACAAAGAGTGATTTGTAAACATCATAACAGATCTTGAAATTAAGGCAACATTCTATAGCTCACAAGAAGTTCCAGATAAACTACATGACAAGCAGTTTTTCTGCCATGGGCATCAGTGTGACTTTCTTTGGACTGGACAAATGTTGTAACTAATTTGATTAAAATGTAAGGAGCTGCTATCCAGGCTCTAGAAACCCTGTTTCCAATGCAAAAAAGAAAGGAGTAAAATCCTTCATTGACCTCCAAAATTTTAACTAACTGTCATTTTTGCTGCAGGGGTTTCTTGGTAGCAATAATATATAATTAGAAGTAACACTTACTTCTTTGCAGAACCTTTTCTCTAGCTTGTACATCAGCATAAACTTGATTGAAGTGGTTAGTAAAAGCAACAAGATCTGCTTCAAGAAACATTGGACCTTGCTGTTTCTCTTTCAGTGTTTTGCTCTGAACCTTTAGTTTTTCAATCTGAGGCTGAAGGGTTGACAAGCGGATAACTTCATCCTAATATTTTTTTAAAGTAAGAATGTAATCATGATCTAAGAGAAGAACTGTAAGTAAACTAACTGTATGACATAAATATAGTTTTTAATTCAGATATTTAGTACAGACGTCTTCAGCCGTGATTTGGATTCTTAAAAACGATGTGAATCATTGTCATGTAGCAAGAGAAGATGATGGCTTTTGCTGGCATAACAACCAGAACACTGATGGCTGTGTTGGCACAGAACTGGAGTGGCTTGCAGTGCTAAGTGAACATCTCAAAGTTTGGTTCAGTGAATGATCACTGTGGTTTTTGAGCTTAAGTATTACACACTCATTTAGAAGTAAGTCAAAGAACATTTGTATGTTCACAGTGTTTATAGTAGTAGTTTATTTCTGGAACCCTGTTTTTAGCTACATGGACCTTCTGTAGCAAGTTAACAGCTTCAAGTATATGTAACTGGGAACCAGAGTGCAGTTTTAATGTTCTAATTAAACATCCTAGGAAGATTGCTTTAAAACTAAAAATGCTGGAAACCAGGGTTCTTTTTGTAGAAAAAGCCCAGCAGGAACTCATTAGCATATAAGGCCACACCCAACAGCAGAAACTCATTAGCATATTAGGCCACAGCCCTGACAGCACAGCACATTAGCATATTAGGCCACACACCCATGTTACCAGAAGTGTGGTTATCCAGCCATGCCCACCTTTTGCTTCTTATTCTGTTGACCTTGTTTGTGGTCAAAACCCAGGGCCTTTTTTTGTAGCAGGAACTCCTTTGCATGTTAGGCCACACACCCCTAATGTAGCCAATTCTAATGAGTTCCTGCTGTTGGGTGTGGCCTATTATGCTAATGAGTTCCTGCTGGGCGTGGCCAACTTGGGAGCCAGCCGGAACTCCGTTCCTGTGTGTTCCTGCCCAAAAATAGCCCTGCTGGAAACCACATAAAGGTAAAGGTTCCCTTGCTCGCAAGCCAGTCGAATCCGACTCTAGGGTTGCGGTGCTCATTTCCGTTTCAAAGCCGAAGAGCCAGCGCTGTCCGAAGACGTTTCCGTGGTCATGTGGCCGGCATGACTAAACACCAAGGCGCATGGAACGCTGTTACCTTCCCACCGAAGTGGTACCTATTTATCTACTTGCAATTTCTTGCTTTCGAACTGCTAGGTTGGCAGGAGCTGGAACTAGAGACAGGAGCTCACTCCGCCATGCGGCACCCGGGTCTCGAACTGCTGAACTACCGACCTTCCACAGCCTGCAGTTCAGCGTCTTAACCACTTGAGCCACCCTGTTTTTAGCTACATGGACCTTCTGTAGCAAGTTAACAGCTTCAAGTATATGTAACTGGGAACCAGAGTGCAGTTTTAATGTTCTAATTAAACATCCTAGGAAGATTGCTTTAAAACTAAAAATGCTGGAAACCATATATTCACAGCTAAATATAAAACTATGCACACTGCTGTCATGGTTTAATTGAGAAGAATTAAACATATAAATGTTCTAATCCTTACATTCATTAAATTAGAGGACCAATTCAAAACAAAGACTGTTAAAGTGGGAATAAGAACTTTCATTGTTTTATGTAATAATTATGAATATAAACTTAATTTTAATATTCCCAAAGCATTTAACCTGCTGCATAAATTTTATCAAACAGCAATCCCAATTCACAATCTAATGCTCAGGAAAATTAAAACAGAAGTAAAATAGGATTGCTTTGTAGGGAAGTGCTTGATGTTTCGTTCTTTCTTTATACAGTTATATACTACATACCTATTTCCTTTTTGCCTAGCTCTGCACTTATCATCAATAGCATGAAAATCAAAATCCTCCTACAATGAAGATGGACAGTGATCCCAAACATAATTCTTCCTACCTTTTGACAATTTCCTCCTCAGCATGCAATGGGAAATGCATAAAACATGTTTTCCTCCTGCCTATATTTGGGATCCATTCCAGCATCACTGAAGAATGCAGCACATTTTATGTCCTATGTAATGTCCTATGGTTCTCTCCACTCTCTAGGAAAGCTTTTGGGTTTCTGTTTGCATCTTTGCCAGAGTGGGTAATAGTTAGGGATGGGCATGAACCAGAAAAATGCTTTTGTGGCCCTGCAAACCGTAGTCCCTTTCAACAGGGACTGCAAGGCGGAGCTCTTCTGCCAGGCTTTTGAATAGGAGCCGCCACCACTAGTCCACCGGCAGCCCACCACTAGTGCACTAGTGCACCGCCATCGCACTAGCTACCATCTATCCCCCGTATATGGACATCAAGTTGGGGCATGCACTTCTAGTTGCTGCACTATGGGCAAGAACGGGATGGTCAGGGATAGTCATCTTGCTTTTAGAAATTTTAGAATTTGTACAGATTGTATAATTTGCTAAGCATCAAAATCTGTTTTAAATAGGGTTGTAATTTAATTTTTTGTACTGTTTTATGGTTTTATCTGGCAATATGCCTTGTAAGCCGCCCTGAGCCTCCGGGGAGGGCGGGATAAAAATGTGAATAATAAATAAATAATAAATAAATAAATAAATAAATAAAACAGCTGAGTGATGGGAAGCAACCTGCTCCCTGCTGCTCAGCTGTTCCGGGCTGTCTTTTCCCCCCAGCTGTTTTTTGGGCCTTCTGCTAACCCCATTGAAAGGGACTGCTTTAAACGCTTGTGGAAGGTTGTGATGGTACACCCGTCATGAAGGTCATGGACCACAAATCGGAAAAAAAATTATGACACATTTTGTTTCATGGTTTGGTTTGTGCCCATCCCTAGTAACAGTAGCTTGCTTTGAACATATCTTACCTGTCCTTCCTCCTTTTCTCTCTAAGTTTTACCTGCATTGTCAGCTATTAATAGGGAAGAGAAAATAATAAAATTCTAGTAAGAATGGAAATGTTGTTCTTCCTTTGCTGCTACCCTCTAGAATGAAGAATGTTAGGCTGGTTTGCCACAAGTGGCCCTCATACACCAACAATGTGTCACTGTGGAACCAAAGTCACTTTCCTGTACTGACTGGTAAATACTTGATTTTCCCATTTCTGTAATGATAGTAACTGCTGTTATAAGAAATGGTGCATCTGCATAGATTATCATGTAAACCAACTACAAGTTGACAGCAGCCTCACACAGTCCTGAAGACAGGCTCATACATGAATGAGCCCATTATTTTCTTTTTTCATCCTCTTAAACACAGAACAGACACATTGACATACATCTAGCAAAGATCAGGGCAGAATGTCTAACCTGGCACTTCTGTAGCTGAGTTTTCACTGCAGCAGGATCTGCTGCTGGTGCAGGTTGTACTTTCAGCCAGTTTTCATCAGTAATTACTGTCTGCTCCAATTGCTGTAGCTGGGAGTAGAAGGCAATGATGTTATTTTGGTACTCCAGCCATGCCAGTCTCTCGCTCAGCAACTGACAGAACTCAATCCAGCGATTGTTCAACTGCTCTGAGGCTTGTTTGATGTTGTCAGCATTAAGCCCCTCTAGAAAGGAAGGAAGGAAAAAGAAGGGGGAAAAAAGAGCTGAAGACATTTATTTTTAGGTCACAATGGGAGAGAAAAATAGCAGGGGAAGAAATTTAACAACCCTATTTCTCTATCAGAAATCTCATAAAACCAGCAATGATTTATCATCAAAGAAATGATCCTGAACATACAGATGTTGTGTGTTAGTGGAAAGAGGATTTTAATGCCCCCGTAAAAGTCTAGTAAAGTATCATCATCAAGATAGACTACATTGCAAAAATGAAATTTTAGGAGGAGATAATGTAAAATTAATGAAATCTATTGTGTGAAATGGAAAGTTATGTGGAAAAGACTTTTTCTGGATGGAAATTTTAAAATAATATGTATGCAAGCATTTATGGGGGAGGGGGAGTGGAATAATGCCAAAAGTGCTTCATGGATTGCATGTAAGGCACTATTTTGATTACTTTAGAAGTTCAATATACCAAGTAACTGCACCAGATAATTGAAATACAATTTGCTAATTTACATCCCCAAAGACCACAAAGCAAAGAGGTCAGAGAAAGGACAGTGAGCAGGAAGTGTACAGAACAAAGAGCCTACAGAAGTAAACCAAGCTGTCCCAGATCACAGAATGACAGCAAGGAAGAGGATGGCAAACAGTGTGATCAGAACAAAAGTAGTATAGCTAATCTGTCCTACAAGCACTTTCCTGGGAGTAAGTCCATTGAATAGAATGAAATTTGCTTCACAGTAGGCCTGTTTAGGATTACCCTGATATCTTGGGGGGGGGGGGGAAATTAGAATTAGATTTCCTAACATTTTTAATCACTGAATAACACATTCCCATATTAATAATTAAATTATCTCACCTTTTGACTGACCAATGTTCACACACATGCGTGCACACACAGACACACTGTTTTGTCCAGTGCCTGTAGAAACCATACCCTTTTTTGTTTTGAATGGCAAAGAAGTACCTGTCATAAATCCACCATCTGTGCTTATATATGTGTTGCATATTTGTGTGCATGTAAAGAGTGTTCCTCTTCTTTGTGCCACTACCCTATTAGAAATTCAGCCTCCCTCATTACCAGTTACTTTGGGGGCATGAGTAAAAGCTGCCTCTGAGCATGTGCAAAGAGCCGACTTGCAAATTACTTCAACCCTTCTCTTATGCATACATGTTTAAATGTGAACAAGGAAGACTTAGAATCACAGCCTCTTAAACAGGATAACTTTATTGCTACAAATTAAACTAGAGCACAAGACAGGGACAATACTACCAAGCCTACTGGTTACAGATCTAAGGAAAAGAATAGTAAATACATAACACTAAGCTAAAGTTAACAATACTGAAGAGTTACTTCCAACATCCCCTCCCACCTGGGATGTCTGTGGAATAAATGCACATCCTGACCTCCACCTCTCCATGCAGGGGAATCTGACTTTCAGCATTTGGACAAAGACTTATGGAGGTTACCAATCTTTTAATCCTCTTTGCTTTTTCTGCCATAAAATATTTTACCTAATCCAGATTCAGGGAACTCCCCCCATAATGGAAGGTGAACCCCAATCTCCCAACCCACCTGAGGTGCATGTCCCATATACCCCATTCATATTTTACAACAGCCCTCCATCTTGCCCTTCCTGGCAGGTAGAACAAATGGCTCTCTCTGTGAAAATGCATCTCTGCTCTTTCTGACCCTTTGGTGCATATTATGGTTCTCTTCCCTGGGAAAACAAATGGCTGTCAGGATCCCAAGGACTCCCTGGTGTGCATCAGAGCACATTAGATTTTTGAGCAGGACTGTGTCTACTTTCAGTGTCTACTTTTTCACAATACACGAACTCATGAGCACTCAATGAAATTGCTGAGCAGTTGGATTAGAACAGATAAAAGGAAGTACTTCTTCACCCAAAGAGTGATTAACACATGGAATTCACTGCCACAGGAGGTGGTGGTAGCTACAAGCATGGACAGCTTCAAGAGGGAATTGGATAAACACATGGAGCAGAGTTCCATCAGTGGCTACCAGCCACAAGATATAAATAGGAACTCTCGGTCTGGAGCAAGTGATGCTCTGTATCCTTGGTCTTGGGGGGGGGGAGACAGTGGGAGGGCTTCTAGTATCCTAGCCTCACTGGTGGACCCCCTGATGGCACCTGGTATTTTTGGCCACTGTGTGACAGAGTGTTGGACTGGATAGGCCATTGGCTTGATGCAACATTGGCTTCTCTTATGTTCTTATGTTCTTATGTTCTCTTAGGATCCAGCAATTCAAGTATTTATTTAGAAAAATAAATTATGCTGCCCCTCCAGGAACCTGCCCTAGATAGCTTACAAAAAAACAAAAACATTAAGAGATATTAAAATCTAGCATTAGGAAAATATAATTATAGAAGTACAACAGGGAATTTACCAAATTTCCCCAGTATCTGCCATGCAGAGATGCTTTGGGATGGGCATAAAACAGCTTTCAAACGAAAGTCTGTAACAAATTTTGGCCATTTCATGGTTTGCAAACTCAAGTTTGTGGCAGGTCAACTAACTTTCCATAAACTTTCAAGTAGTGTATGGCAGTTCATGGTGGTTCATGACAATCTCCACTCAATCTAAATGTTTACCAAACTTCAAAGCAATCTGGGACAGAACTTGGAGGGCACCTTCTTTGGGGCAGGGGGTAACCCAGACCTCATAAGTCCAATTCTCATCAAACATGGAGGGCAGGTAGAGGAGAGTCAACCAGTGATCCCCTATAAGATTGGTGTCTCTAGCATGACAGGGGAGGGGTGCTCTATTACCTCTTTTTGCTTTTTCCCTCTCCTAAGACCCTGTGATGTTGTTACCCCAGAATCTCTACAAATGTAGGGCATTAAGATGCAGGGCTATAGGAGGAATCCATCTTGTAAAGTCCAAGGAGTTTTAATTAACCCTTAGTGGAAATAAAATAAAATAAAACATTATTTCAAAGCACCTCCCCCCTTCCCTAAGGGCTCATTCTATGAAACTAGGTGATCACAATGAAACCAAATGAACAGGAGGACTGCTACATGTGTGATGGAACTGTTCTTTTTTTAAAAAAAAACTTCTGCTCTGAAAAGTCTTTGATTTTCAATGATGGATTCATAATGAATCCACATGACCAAATTCAAAACAAGTCAGAATTTGTAGGACTCATTCATTCCTCATTTCCATAATTTTCTCCTCAACAGTAATTTAACAATGTAATCATTTTTATCCTGCATTTCAAGTTGATATGAGACTGAAATTACTAAATGTTCTGGTACTTTCAAGCAATTGTTAGAAAGGCTGTAACTTAATAGTGAAGTGGATACTTTGCATGCATTTTTAATCTAGGGTTAGAGAGATTCTTCACAAGTCTTTTGTATCTCTGAAGTACCAGTTTGACAATATTAACCTGCATTAGTGATAATACTAAAGCCTTCGGTCCCCCACAGATCAAATCCCAAACAGATGATTTTGCATTTTCTTGCCATCTATCTGGACAAAGAAACAGAATCTTTAATCCATAACCCATTGTATAAACAATCTAATAAAACTAGTGAGAAAAGCCCGTCGTGGCGGTAGACGACGGGCCCTAGATAGGAAGGAAGGGCGAGTGGAAGGGAGGAATGGAGAAGAGGAGGTAGAGAGAGAGAGAGAGAGTTAGAGAGGGGGGAAAGAGAGAAAAGGGGGGGAGACAGAGTGGGGTTAATGTTAGTAATGTGGAAAGAAAGGAAGGAAGGAAGCTAGGAAGGAAGGGAGGAAGAATGAAAGGAAGGAAGGAAGGAAGGAAGGAAGGAAGGAAGGAAGGAACGAAGGAAGGAAGATGGGTAGAAAGACAGAGATGGAGAGAGAGTGAATGGGACGAAGGATAGTTGAGAAGGAAGAAGGGCAGAGAAAGAAAGAGAGGGGGGAAACAGAGTGAGTGAGAGAGAGAATGTTGGGAGGAGAGAGAGAAA